TTACAATCAAGGTCATTGTTTCGTCATTTCCAAGTGTCAGTATTTTTTTACAAAGATTTGTTTAAATAAACTTTAAAACAAGTTGTATGATTGCTAATAATGATTATAATCGGAACTAGTCGTGTCAACATTTCAAAATTCAGATATAATATATGTAGATACGAAACAAAAATCTCGCATATATAATAAATTTTGTGAGTGTGTTTTTGATTACGCTGTAATCGCTCACCTTATTGAGCGATATAGAATGAAATTTTGGAAAGAATATAACTATTTTTAAATAACCACGTAGACTATTTTTATCGAAGTGCCTACTAAGTTATAAGTAATGCTTAGGTATATTTTAATTCCCGCAATATTGCGAATAGATATATTAACTATTGCTTAAAAAAATGTTTTGCAATTATTAACTCTACTTTTTCAACAAGTTTTATCAAAACTGATCTTGATTTCTCAGAACCTATGTTTAAGTGTAATATTATATTAGGTGTATTCATACTTGTATAGATCAATCTTATGAAGTCAGATTCCAATGTAAATTCACAACATTCATGACAGTTTATTTAAATTTCTGGTCATGTACTCGTGCAGTCATACTGACGATCTTATTCTAAAAATATAAATATATCATGATTATTACTGTGTTATCTTCATACTTGGTAACTTAATATTACGCTCAAAACGTAATTTTCGAATGCAATATTTTAATTTCAGCAAAGTAAAAAATAACACGTAGGTACAAATTTTTAGTCCCAAGTATCTATTATAAATTTGAAATCTCACGCCACGCTGTGTTTATAATTTAAAGAATGTGTATTGAAAACTAGCGTCTTACCCTCGGTTGGCTTGGGTGCGTCCCTAAGCTTGAATGGTTCAGGGATGCATAAAAGCTTCCAAAGAAATATTTTTTTTTGCGCAAGAAACCTTCGCAGGCGTATACGGAATTACTCACCAAGAGTTTCTTCACGACCGGATCAATGGTTTACGAACGCATAGAGGACAAACATACAAACATTAATTTTTATTTATATACATAAGCTATCGGTATAATGATATTTATGAATTAAGTCGAAGGAAATAGTCTTTTATGAGAGCGTCTAAAATGTTGTGAGTACAAAAAACATCTGCGATCAGTAATAAAGTTTAGTTTTAAAAGATCATTCTTTCAAATTTTACATCTCCTCTGGTCTATCTCTGTGGATGTACATTATTACAATGTATTTAAATATCTTTTGGAAATAAAACCGGTTACAGCACACAGTACACAAGTGTGGATTCCCTTTTTATTCACGAACTAGCATTGTCCGCAGCTCCGCACGCGTTCAGATGACCAAACACGAAATTCTTAGGTTTTACATATTGGTATACTCTTACATTGCATTTTTTGTATTTTTTTCTCAGAAATGAAATATTTTCCCGCGGTAAAAAGTATCCTATATGTTGACCCGGATAACCAGCTATCACCATACCCAATTTCATCAAAATCCCTCCAGTGATTTTTCTGTGATGCGGTAACAGACAGACAGACAAAAATTCTAAAAACTATACATTCGGCCTCTGTATCGATAATAATGTATATTTCAATAAGTTTTTCCAAAAAATATTTAATGTACAGATTCGGCTTAGTTACAATTTTATTATATGTATAGATAGTACAAACAAAAATAACATCCGAACTACGGCGGACGGAACCGAATGTCTCGTAACGCATTTTCGTTATGTTACGATTTCTACTTATCAACTCCTGCTGCAAGCCGCGTTAAGGAACCTTGTTCCAAAAAATTATTACTACGATGGAAACATATAATTTATTTAAAACACCACCTACAAAGTTTTAAAAGTTATCTATAACGGATGTCTGATTCATGTATAGGGAATTTGATTTTTAATTGCAATATAATGAGTATTAAGGACATAAGTTTAGTAATTGGATAACAATGCAATACTTGGTACGGTGAGTTATTGCGGTTTCCCATTATACACTGCTAATTAATGTGCATCTATCCGGGATGCTGGGTCACAGCGAAAGTCTGGCCCTGGGCTCGATGTTAACTAGTTATAATAAAGAGCTTTAAAGTACATTTATATTACAGTTATCTATACTAATATTATAAAGAAGTAAAGTTTGTGAATTTGTGACGTTGTAGTGGGTAATCTCTGGATCTACTGAACCAATTTAGATCAAATTCGGCAAGAAGTTTGAGATCTTTGGAAGGACATAGGATACTTTTTATTCCTGAAATCATCCCTTAAGGGGGTGAAAATAGTGGTGAAAGTTTGTATGGGGAAACAACTTAGAGACGAAACAGAGCAAAGCGAGACTGAGTCGCTAGTTTGTTATAAAGTATATGAAAATACTGATTGACGCAAAAATTGAAAACGAATTAGATGAACAGTTTGTAAATTTTCAATAAAAGTCGATTTTACATTGGTAACATAGTCGCGTCTAAAACAATACTGTTAAGTAAACTTTAGCACACACTCTATATCTTGTGTTAAAAAAAAATTATTATAATTGAAAGCAGCTTGAACGCGATAAGTTTAGACAAATCGAATCTCGCTCTTTTGTAGAATATGCAAGTAATTCTACAACGCCTTATTAATCACGACTAATAAATCTACAGTCCCCTGCCCTTATAATATTACTATTGTCTTACTCAACGTGTCCAACAGTAGCCTATGTGTTACTCCAGGTCTTAGATTATTTGTGTACTAAATTTCATCCAAAACCATTCACCCGTTTTAGCTTGAATGAGTATGTAATATATACATACATACATATAAACTATCACGTTTACAATAATAATCCTATCATAATAATATAATTGTTTTGCTCCATATGTCAATGTTTATTACATGTAAATCTATAGAGACCTATATTTCCTAACAACTATGTTAATATTTTCCAAGTTCAATCATAAACTTAAATTATAGCTTGAGATAATTCATACAGATTTATCATTCAAAGACGTCTATTTACGGAGTGATGACGAAACATGTCTTCCTTTGGAAAAACTGCATATTATCTTGATTGTTTACTGTTAACGTATACTTTAATCGACTCTACAAGTCACTAAATGTAAAAATATAAATGGAATTAGTTTTTTGTTTAAGAATTTTCCTGTATAACTTATTAATTAGCCTTTGACTTCAAAGATGTAATATATTATTTATTGGATCATAAATCCCATTATATGTTATATCCCATTAATTATTATTATTATAAATGCGAGTTTGGATGTTTGTTACTCAATCACGCCAGAACGGCTGAATGGATCTGGATGAAATTTGGCACAGAGATACATTATAGTCTGGAATAGCACATAGGTTATTTTTTATCGCGGAAAATTTACGGTTCCCGTGGGATAGATTTGTTTTTGTTTTTCACTTGCTATTCTTATTATAAAATATATACACCTTAATTTTATTAAGTTACGAGTATTATTGAAATAATCCAAATAATAATATTAGTTTGGAATTTAATTTAAGTATCTGTTAATTTAATTTAAGTATCTGTTTTAAAAATTTAAAAACGTGAATAATTGACACGACTAGTTCGAAGTAATCGAAAATTGTTTCAATCACGTAATACCTATCAAATTTGGAGTTACCAAAAAATGTAAAGCTTCATATAAAAATATCAACAACTTATTATATTAGAAAATCCGTACTGAATATCAATCGAGATATTATGGCGAATGCTTTAGTTATTGATGATAATTCGATTTTCCTAGTGGCTGTTTTTGAAACTTAGACAGCAGTTTACAGAACTACTCGACAATATTGGAGGCTTCGACTAGATGTTATTTTCGTTAGTAGTTGGGTAATATTATTTTCTAATTGCATAGATATGGGATATAGTTGTTATGTCAATATGCCATTTCCATATATATTTTTTTAATTTCTAGAATAACATCTCGTATTGTCTTTGAGTTATGTTTCCATAAATATATACACAGATTGAATACTAACTTTATAGATCGATGTTAGTTCTGTGATTTGTCGGTAGAGAATCTGCTTACCACCAATATATAAACATTGACAAACAATAAAATTATTATTATATTAATCAAATCTGCCCATTTACACCAACTCTAAGTCAAGATAATGAATATATCGGGAAAGTGACTTCTCCGAGAACGTCTTTCTCGCTTTAAATTTTTACTTGGACAAAAAGTTTATATATATATATATATATATATATATATATATATATATATATATATATCGTAAAGGTTATATTTATTTTAGTATTAGCCAGAATTGAAAGTAATTGGACTAAATTCAGTTTCGAGGTTATACAAAAATGGTTCCACAATATCATATAGTATACTGACATACTCTACTAATATGCTAAAATATTCAATAATAAATATATAAAACAATTAGAATCAAATAGAATAATGCAAAATAATAATATATTTTAAAGCCCTATATTAGGGCATTTTTTTCTCAAAGAAATATACGTTTGTTACGTGTTTTAAAAATCAGACTTTACTTGGCCAAGTTGATTTTACCAAATTGTACTGAACTGTTTTATCTTTTACATATACTAAATATCAGTGCCGGATTTAAGTGTCTCAAAATATTTGCACCCTTTAATAGTCTAACCGTCGAGCCCTCAGACAATTAAAGAGTGGAGACCCCCAGAGAGATATATTACAAAGAAATTAAAAAAATTCTTATAGTTTTCTTTCATTCTTTTTTAGTTTATCATTTACGGAACCATAAAATAGGTTTACTTAGTCCATATAAAAAAAAATTAGACCCTCTAGAATTTTCTCTGACTAATCCAGTTCTGTTTCAATATAGAATTCTTCCTCATTTGCGAATGCCATGAAGTCGTACTTATGAAATTCCTAGTATGATCTCTTTCGTGTCTTCTCCATTCTGCGTTATATTGGCGAAGTACCTGTGCTCAACTCGCACATTTTGCAGTCATTACAAGAAAATTGAATTGAATTCAATAGTATGATCCGTATAGTTTGTGATTATTGTCAGTTAGAATGGTTTCTAGCGGGGTGTGGAGGTTGCAGTGCGGGGTTGGCGACGGCTATGATGCTGTCGCCGCGAGCTGCCACCACTTGTGGTCGCGACTCGTCTGTCTCCTGTCAAAATAAAGCTCAAAAATAATCAAAATATACGTACTCTTGCAAATAGATTCTTTTTGTTCTTGCAGATTTGGTGAGCTGGCTGAACTAATCCCAAATGAGATAATTTCAGTAAGTACGTTGAAAGATAACGTACACATTAAACGTATGTTAAAGGAACTGTCAAAAATGACAGCCGCCAGAGAAAGAAAGAGAGAGTTGCGTTTTTAGAACATTGAATGATTCTGAAATTTTACATTTAAGTACTTTGTCGATATAAAAAAACTATCATTTGATCACTTACAGGTGGCGGGGTGCTAGTGCTGGAGTACGAACACCTGGAGTCCGCGTCGTCGCTCTCAGTCTTCATTCCCCACCAACTAGATAATTAATGAAATATTTACTTACTCTTAATTATTTAAAATTATAGTTTTGGTGTATTTTGGACGGAAAAAATCCTTTAATAGTTCTTAATTCTTTTAATAATCTAATATAATAAAATAATCTATGATAGATGACAGACATGTTTTATTTTAAATTTAAAAATTAGGGTTTTCTTATCTTAAATTTAAATTAAAGGTCAAAAATATTGTCAAAAAACTAAAAGTAAATATTATATTTGTAGAAGTTAAAACCAAATTTTACCTATGATTCGAGGTCCTAGCCGTGTCTGGACTAGCTCTGACCCCATTACCTTCTTCTCCTTCCTAGCAAAGAAAATAACGTTAGAAAGTTTTGCTTTTAAAACTGCTAATAAAATGTAAAATATTGGTCAATAAGAGTTAGATATGAGACCTCATAAGGTTTTATTGTCATTGAGCAAAAAAAATATATCACAAAGCTTCTAAAACTTTATGAATTTTTTTTAAGAAATAAGTTTATTTTATGGATTTCATTAATTATTTTATGTTTCACTTTTTATTTATCCCTTTGTTGGATAAATCCATAGACATACAGAGTGGACTGTTTCTTTGCCAGCCGTCAGCTGAAAATGACGGAAAAGCGACAGAGACACAACGAACGCGCGGCCAGAAGTCTTCTGTATTTATTGAAATACGATTAATGAACATAATCATTTATAACAATTTTATATTCCATTATAATATAACTTTTTTTTAAATTCCATTTATAAATTCAAACTGGAATAAATGACAGGTATTGGGCGCGCGTTCGTTTTCTATCTTTGTAAAGAGTGGTCAATTTCATGAGAGTATTGCTCAGTCTATACATAGTCTATATATATATATATATATATAAATATATATATATATATATATATATATATATATACAGAGATATATATATATATATATATATATATATATATATATATATATATATATATATATATATATATATATATATATGGACTCTACTGATAAATCCATAAAAATACTGACGAGTTAAAATATTAGCAACGATATACATAAATAAGGTTTCATTCGCTTCTATTTATTTTAATAGCTTATATTTTTTCTTCAGTATTTTAGCAAATAAAACTTATTTTAAAGAGTTTTTCAAATTTCTGCTATTAAATCGTTAATAACTTATCACATTAGAAAAATAATACAACATAAACTTAAAATATATGAAAATTAATGAAGGAACATAATAAAGTGTGTATAAAAAGACTCCAAAATACCATATTAGTAATATTATAAAGAAGTAAAATAAATACTTACCGCAACTGAAAATGAGAGTTAGTGAAATAAAAATAATTATTAAATAAGAAAATCAATATTAGTGAAGCTTTCGACAGACTCATGCTTACCTTTACCGTATTATATAAAGCAATAATAGAATATGAATCTAAATTCTAATATAAATTGTTAAAGAAGTTGCATTTTATTTATAAACAATGTTTAGTTGTTCTTTTATTTATTTAAACCTACTTTATATATAGAGGTTTTCATAAGTGTCTCTCAAGGACGTATTGTAGGTCCAATCATATTTTCAATATATACTATTTAATTTGTCTGACAAATACTAATAATATAATAGTTGATTATATAAAATAAAACTAATAAGAAAAGAAGATTCTTACTACTTGCGTATTTCAAAGTAAAATCTAATAAGATTTTTTATTTTCATAGTTTTAAAATATGTACTCTATATTCACATTTAAATCCTATTGAATTATGTACTATAGGATTGCGAAATCCAATAATAAGTTGAAATACGTTAGAATATAGAGGATAGTTATTGGATATTTATATTTTTAATGATTTAAAATTATTTAATTGAAAAATCAATTTCTTATTTTATAGTATTTCTTTTGAAATAGATATATCATATAAGTCAAATAGAACTATCACTAGTTTTTTTAACTAGCTTTTATTTTAAATCTACGTTAATCAAAATAATTTAGTTTGTTTCCTATTCACCATATTTACTATTTCTCTTATATACATATTTTTTATTATTTAATATTTATAATTGAGACAATTTACAATCTAAAATAAGATTAATAGTTCTAAACGATATTAAAGCTATATTAGTAATTAAAAAAAGATCGTCCACTAAAACCTCAACCAATCCTTCACTAGTCTCAAAATTAAGATTATTTCAGTATTAGATATGTATTGTATATTGTACATATATACATGTTGTTGTAGTTAAATTCGCTTTTAAAGCTTTATTAGTAAGTGCATAGTCTAGATCTAGGTTAGTGCTTATTTGGTGAGGTCTATCTCAGTGACGACCTGTCGCGGTCGCTTGCTGGGGGTCTCGTCTTCGTCGCGCTCTCGGTCCTCCGGCGCTGTTGGTGGTAAGCTGAAATGTATGTATTGGTAAAAATTAATTTAAGTTTTCATAAAATGAGATATGTACTTAATTGAGACGTTTGGCTTTTTTGTTTATGTATTATGTATGCAATGCGATATTGTTGCTAATTGTACATGAATCGCCTTAAGTATTTCTTTTTTTAATAACTAGGCTATTCTTCAAGAGTGGTTGAATAATATTTTAAAAAAGAAATCCACCCCCCATCACCCTTAAAGCTTGTTTGGTAAGTGCCTAATAATAGTTTATTTGCTTTAAGTCCATAGTCTCTCTGTATACTCATCAAAATTCGTCCATCCGTTTCAGCATGAAACAACAAGCACACAGACATTGAAACTTTCACATATATAGTAATAGTCCAATGTTACCCATGTTTGGAGTAGTGTAAGCCGGCGCGCCGCACGAGCTGCCTGGCGAGGGGGAACAGCTCGTCGCGTCGCGTGAGAAGCGCGGGCACGCAGCGGCATATCTGTGCGGCTGCTTCATTCACCATCACCTACAATATTTTACTATACATAAAATTTTATGCACAAATAGCCCAGGCTCTATTTAAGAATGATTTTCGCTAGACATTTGCATTTATGTACTTTCTTGCCTTCTAGAATGAGGTCATTTTCGACCGCAAATGCCAATTCTTCATAATTTTCTCTTCCTTTCAGTTTTGTAATACTAGTTATTACGTTTCCTGTCATATTTTTACTAATAATCATCTTTAATTATATTTTAAACTTAAAAAATCTAGTCCCATAACTCTACAAATGAATCCGAAGTCTTTAAGGAAAACAACTGACTTAACTGTTTTTATAAAAAAAACGAATGTTACGCAAATATTTGACATTTTAAACAATCTTTTGTTGTCACGGAAGAGAGTGACAACACCTGTGATGATGATGATGGTGTGAAGCATTCGCTACGTCGGAAACCAAAAATCAAAATAAATCTTATAGAAAAGATATTTAAAATAAAACATCTATGTAATTTTTTCATAAAATTCTCTTGATCGGTTAATTGGGGTATTAAGACAGTGGCACTTTGGTAAGGTATTATGTTACAAGTAATTGATGAAAACAAAATATTTAGGTACGTTGTCTATGATTGCCATGCCTATTATAATTTCTTAGGCCAATCATTGTTTAAGGCACATTATATTACAAAATATCTACTCTCTTCATACATGCAGATAAGAGTAGGTATAAACGTTTGTTTGTTTTAGTCATTATTTTTAAAGAATAAATATCTCGTGCTTATATTTTGTATGATTATTATTTTAAACTCATATCATTATATTGTTTAATTTTTGATGAAAAAATGATCTTTGCGGGATGAATTACATATACCTAACTCCTAAAAATACTTAAATCCTTTAAATAATAATATATTTAATAACCATCCTTTGGGTTCGCCGCAGTCTGGTTAAAATTATAAGATATTTTCACGATTTTGACGCAAACCCGTACCCGGACCATATACTATAATCATTTTTATGGTATTTTAATAGAATAAGTTAGCCGCGTAAATCATAATTGTCTTATGACAAAAAATACAGGGATGTGACATTAAACGTACCTCATGAAGAGTTAATGGCTTCTCTGGTTTTCGTTTACAATCAAATCTGCCGTATATTGCCGCGTACTTCCTAATCTCCTCCATTCTCCTCGGATCTGACTCTGGCATCATCATCACTAGTTCCAAGTCTTTACACATCTTTTTCTTTGTGTTTTGCGGCTTTGGCTCCAGTTGAGGTAAATGCTTGCTTAATTTCTCTGCAGCCGCCGCCAATTTTTGTACGTGAATATCTAGAAGAACTGGTGTTAATTGGACGGGTGATGTCACGGAACTAGGACTTGATCCAGACGAGGCCGGAGGACAAGCACTTTGGGGAGAAAAGGATCGAGCTGTAGTGGTGATTGGAGCGGCAGGGGAAGATGGAAGGACGATCTTAGTGAAAGTGGGCTGGCTATGTACAGGACTAGCATTAGGAGCAGACGCGTTTGACCCACAACTGTTTTCTGGTGCACCAGGAGACGGACTGTACATGGGTCTATTGTTATCTGGGGAGGCTACTGTTCGAGGTAAATTTGGGATAGCTGGAGGGATGTTCAGGAGCCTTTGGTTACATTGCATAAAAGGATTGTCAGTGGGACATATACTTGGGACGATTGGGATTTGAAAGAGAGCAGGATTGTTCACCCACTCTTGTAGGGCTTTCTGTAAACGTCTCACGTGAAGAGGTTTGGACGCCATACCAACAAGAGCCATAATTTCTAAGAACTCTTCTTCACCCGCATCGCATAGCTGTTGTACATCATCACCACCTGTAAAGTAATATAATACATATACTTATATATTATTTAACTACAGATATTCAAATTTTTGTTAATATTACTATTATTCACACATAAAAAGAACTTAATAACATGATTTTGAATTATACTATTTATAATTTATAATTATGAAATAAGTGCCTATATATAACATTAGTCCTTCTAGTTAATATATCTATAGTCTAGAAGGAATAAAAAGAGTTAAATCCAACAACATAAAAAACCAAATGATACATTCAAATGCATCTAGCAAAGCAAGTTCATTCTGCTATCATTGTTCGCCGCAAAAACGTGTGATACTTAAAAAAAAGGCCAGCTCACACTTTTAATTTAGGCGAATATGCAAATGTCTTACGTGACCATTTTGCGAAGGGGCTCCGAAGAAAAAAAACAAAAGGGGCCAAGGAACGGCCGAACCCTTCCTTAGTGGGTAATTGCCAGAATTAAAAAGTAAAAAAAATAAAAAAAATAATTTGCATGGGATGTCTGCGCGGCTTTTTTCGCTTATGGAAATTTGTTTTTTGACGTCTTTTTGATGTTCGATGAGAAAACATTTTTTTGATAGTTCCTGGCCGAGTTTTTGTGTGTTCTAAGATCTGGTTCCTTTTATTTTATTCAAATTAATATATTGTTCTATTTATTGATGAAATAAATACTCGTAGTTCTTCATTTAATGTCATATTTTTTTATCTAGACTATACAAAGAGAATATAATAGGTATATATTATATTCTTAGCTTTTCAACTGTAACAAAGCGTTGCGATTGCATGGTGAAGACATTTATTTTGTCAATAATCGAACCCATAACCCGTGATCAAACTAGAGAAAACATAAAAAGTAGATACGTTTTAAATAACATAAATGAAAATGAACTAGTTTTTGCCCATGATTTCGCCAGCATGTTAGGTATACTAAAGTATTTTAGTCATAAAAATTCAAAATAATTATAATTTTATGAGCTACAAAAACATTATAACATCTTGGCATCCTTTTACGCAATAAATGTTGCCCTAAACAAAGGAGGAGATACCTACCCTCACCCTCTTTGAAACGTACGATGGCCTCTGCCTTTACAGACAAATATCTAATAAAAAAATTCGTAACATACCTAGGTATAAATCGAACATTGAAATCGATTTAGCGCAATAGATGCTATAAATACGATTATATTTATGTGTACGTAAATTTTAGTCTGTTAGGACATTATATGAATATATTATTAAAAAAAATAAAATTACAGTAGAGTCCGAGGAAATTGAGTTTGTCAGACGGACAGACACAAGTGATAAGATAAATTGGTCAAGTGCGAGTAGAACTTGCGTAGATGAGGCTTCTGATGAGTACATTGTGGAATTTAAAAAGTTACGACGGTGGCATAATTATAATTTTGAAAGCAAAATTTTCTGTATTTTTTTAGGAAACTGATACTTTATTTGATTATTTTAACAATTCATTTCAAATAATAAAAATAATATTTATGTTTCTATTCTGTTTAAGGCATATGATGAAGCACTTTATTACAACTTCTAACATTAGCTACTTACCCCATATTAGTTATAACATGCTATCAAAATTAGAATTTATTATAATAAGCCCGACATTAGGTCCTCACTCGTGCCAATCTTAGTCTATCCGCCAATCAATCGTACCAATTTTAGTCTTATTCCCATAGTAATAAAGTCGGAGGAAATTCAACAGACGGACAGACATTTGTGAAAAGGAACAATATTTGAGTTTCGTGTCTTTGTGCTAAATTACGTAATCTTAAAAATAACAAATTCATAAAATTACAGTTTTATTCTTTAGCTTTCAATTAGTATTAGGTACTTTGTTCTCTATTTGAGTTTTTTATGAAATTTATGAGATATGAATGCTAGTTATGGTATTTGTCGGACCGGTGGCTACATTTAATTGTCCGAGGCTCACTTTTTACAGAATCGAACCAGTGACCTTACACGTAGTTATTTGGTCATATGTATAAATATCGAACTGCTATTATGAATTTGAAAGTTTGTAAATGTGTGAATGTTTGTTACTTCTTTGTACTACAGCTGCTGGACAGATTTGGATGAAATTCAATACCCAGATAGAGTATGACCTGGAGTAACATATAGGCTACTTTAAGATACCTAAGGATGACCCTGAATGAAGCGATAATTAAATACAAACCCATTTCTAAGAGTGTGTCGTAGTACGCCAGAAGACTAGCGCGTTGCATCACTCTATATAGCTGTAGCTCTGCCTCGTTGGCTGGTGCTGATGTCACAACCACTGTAACAAATTTACTCTAAATTATATAATTATTTCATCTGTACTTAAGAAAAATACTTTGGTCAGTGTGAAAGCAATGCAAAATACAAGGCCGTACGTCGGGTGGTTCTCATCGAGCCAAATCTCCCCGCGTGTAAAGTTATCTAGTGATTAATTATTATTATTGCGGATCCGCTAACTCGTTTCATTTCGTACCAAAGACAATTGTGTGGACTCTCGCACCGGATAACTATAGATAATATTATATAGAAAAAATGCCACTAGACAATCAACTATACACTTAAGATAGTATATACGAGTATAGACAAAATTCTAAAAACTCGTATTTAATATTTCTAAAAAATTTATATATACTCGTTGTTCAAATACAGATTTTTTAAACTTTTCATGTGTGACTTTTATTTGTAAACTCATGGACGTATGTTAATTTGCAAAATGTCTCTATTTATTGAGATAAAGTTTACAGGTTCTATTTCAGACAAGATAACATTTTATGGTAATCATGATCCCATATGTATGTACATATGTATGATAATATTATAAGGGTGAGACCGGGGATTTGAACCCACTTCACTCGGTTTCCTAAGCGAGCGCGTCAGCACTGGGCTACCATTATACCCCTATATCTTCCCTATATATTATCACCTAACATATTATTTAATTAAGATAATTATAAAAATCTTTTTTATTAATCATTGATTTATGTTTATAGCCCTATTCTGCAAAAAATATGGAAGTGATTTATTTATATGAAAGTTTTATAAAATGCCAATAGGTACCTACTAAAAAAAAATTCTAAAATTCCATACCTGTATAGCAATAATTAAACAGCACAGGTTATTTGTGCATTTATCATAAAACAATCCTTTGAAATATTTTACTTAATTTTTTTACGAATAAATTCATTTTAAGATATTAAAAAAATACATTTAAAAATACTTTCTTAGATTTACGCGAATACTTGACATTTTAAATAAAACTATCTTTTGTAATTTAAATTACACATAGAACATTATATGGCTTAAATAATTAATACTATATTTTATATTTTTCTTTTTGGTTATAAATATAACAATGGCAACACTAAATATAGATTACTAATTAATATTTTAAAATTGTAATAATTATAAAAATAATAGCAATATTAAATAAATAATATTCCATATTCAATTATAATTAAAATTATAAAATTATAAAAATGTGTAAAGTTAAAAAATATTGTAATTTAATTGGTGCAATTTTCATTTTGTTAATTGTGGGTAGGCTGTCTGTAACAACTATACCTTCAAGACATGTAACACCTCAGTCTCTCCCGTGACCATGGATGCTGTAAAGCATTCGAAATGTCGGGAAACAAAAATCAAAATAAATTCGCGAAAAAATCCGAAAAGATAGTTTTATTTAAAATACATTTAAAAAAGTTTAACTTGAAAATGAATAAAATATATCATTTTATAGTTCTATAAATACCGAAGTACCAAAATAATATATAAATAGATAAAACAAAACCGTAAAATATGTCGGTAAAAACTAATCTTGAATGACCTCAATTAACTTAAAAATTGTTTTCCAAAATTTCAAATTCGCACCAAACCTAACCATCGGACTAATAATAATCAGAATGCATATTATATCTAAATCGATAATCCATATAGCCAGACGCGGTGCGTGCTACAAGCAATTTCGTCCCGAATCGCGTGAGGAGACGCTCAACAAAAAACAACCCCTTTTTAATACCAACCCCTGTCATTACCGAAAGAATCGGTTCAACCGTTACCGGACGAAAAAATAGATGAATAAAACTTTTACATAAAGGCCCCTTTCAAAACCAGTTGAGTACAACCAATGCGGTCCTCGCGCGAGAAAAATATCGATCGTTTAAATGTTATAAAAAGTGTTGCCACCCTTAATAGTGCACTATTGGTTTTTATGTTCGAAAAAAATGTGGGGTGGGTCGAGACTCCACCCCAGGCAGGTAAATTAGAAAAAAATACTAGTTTATATTATTTACTTTTTTTATGTCATGGGAATAACAACTTTTAGTTTCCTTTAAGTCAACTTCTTTTGTTAATCCGTCGGAGGTTATGTATTAGCAACTATGAACTTAAAGCTCGAAAAAACAATGATGTATCTATAAGTATGTAATTGATACAATTTTAAGTATTGTTTTACGAGATTAAAATAACTATGGATACATAATTTTTTTATTATTATTTATTTTTTATTTCGTCATGTGAGTTTTTTGTTATTATGAGCCTTTACGTAATTATTCTTAATTATTTATTTTTACCTTGATATTTTAATTTAAAAGATAAAAGAACAAATAAAAATAAAAAAGAACTATACATACAAAAGACCTTTTAGTCCTTTTATAAATTTAATAATTTTAAATAAAATAAAAAATACAAGCACAATAACTAGCATTGCTATAAAAAAGAAGTCCTCGTTATGTTTTTTAAAAATAATAACCTGCTTTGAAACATTTTTTTTATCACCTAAAAAGTGAGCGAAGACACGATTAATTTTAATCTTAATGTAATTGTTCAACGTTTTTTATCGTTTACTCTAGGCTTTCTCAGGATAAAAAAATATTCTAAAAGAAAAAAGTTCTTTCTTCTAAACTTGCGCAGTGTCCAAAAAATATATTTGCATAATCTGCTTGAGTATAAAAAATCGCCACTATCGCTGAGCGTATGCAAATTTAACCCGCCAGTACCGATGGGGTTGGACCACATGGCCTTTCTATTGTTTTTTTCTACAATTTTTTTATTTATTTCTTTTAAAATTTGGTCACGTAACGCGTTTGTAATATAATTTTATTCAAGTCTCACGATGCTGGTTACTTTTTTCTACATTTTTTTTCTTGAGAATTGGTTTGAAATACTTTGTGATTTGACTGTTCTTATGTTTTTCTTTTCTTAGTTTCAGATGTAATAAATACATACATATATAGTGTTTATTTGAGTATCAAAATTTATTCAGTAATAATATTAGACTAATGCATAAATTTCATTTTTATTGCAAAGAAATTGTTGAATGTTATGAACAAAAAATATATTTAAAAGTAATACTAATCAATCGACATATTCTTTCTATGTACATTGTATATACTTGTTTGTCTCAATGTTGCACTGTCAGGTGTTCCACAACATTTATAGCGATTGCATTAATTTTTACTTTGCACTGTAAGTTAAGCTAATATGACGACTTTTTCAAGGGCCGTCAGAAAAACGAACTTTTATTTCTATAATTAAAACATTCCGAGAACTTGGCTCATGCATATTAATATTGATTAATTAAATATGCGCAGACAGGGGAAAAGCTATGCAACCACTCATCTGTCTGTAGCGCTCCTAGAGAACTATTACAGGTCAGCAATTTTTACATCGCTAAATTGGTATTTTAAATTATTATTTCCTTATGAAATGCCAGCATGTGTATATTAAATATATTATTACAATTAAAATTTTGAGATATTTGTATTTATATCGAGTAATTAATTGATATAAAAAAATTTCATTTACAAAATTACTTTATCGATTACAAATTTTAGTTGCTAGGTCTGGTATAAGACAATCTGTGCAGGTTCTAATAGGTAAGACCCGTGCACATGAGATTGGCATCCAAGACGTATAATTATTAGAAAAGAGAATGGCTAAAATAAGTAATAATAAAGACAAATAAAATAATAGTGCTATTCAATAATCTCTGCGAATGCTTTTCAACATCGATAATAATAACTACGTAAAAAATATATAAATAGGAAGTAAAGAAAAAGAAGTAGTCAGTTTTAATATATACTCGTAGTAATAAAAAAATATGTAAATAAATAATTATGGTTTTTTTTTATGATTAATCTATAAATTATTTTTAAGACCATCCGACCAACCTGTATCCATTTAATTATTTGTAAGAGAATTAACTAAAGGTGAAATAATTATCTTTATCCAATGACAAGGATATGTTTCGTACATATCCTGTACATATTTAATGTTCATCAAATAAACACATCACTCGATATCCATTATTATTACAAAAAGTTATTTAAATAATATTATTATTATAAAAAGTAATGAACTTTTATGGACGGCACTAAGTTTTCTAAATTGTAACATTTTGCTGTATGAATAATTGCGACTGAAAAAAACAACTAATTTTACTAAATAAATTATATAGCCATAGCAAAAACTCGGTCTATGTAAAAAACTTTAAAAATTTGTATAAATATAAAGAACGGTATACTAAAAAAACCTAAAAAAATAAAACGTTAAACACTAAAAAATATTTTGTAAATTAAAGCACCCATTCTCTTAACACTAACCCGACACAGGATATGTACAAAATATTCATACACTATAATTAGCCGTCTTGTTACCGCAGTGTACAAACACGTGTATTATACTAATCGTGCGAAATGCACGCCTAATCCTATATACGATAGTAATTACCTTCGAATCTTACCCGAGATGAATAAAGAATACTATAGAATAAACAAAAATGCGCTATTGTCAGTCAAAAATTTGAATAACTAAAAGGGAGCGTTCCCATAAGGCGCTAATGATAATAGACAAAAGAAACGGGATGCGCCTGCGCATCCGATTAGCTATTTTTTCGCACTTAGTGATTGATATGCGCAATCTTTGTATGAATATTAAAAGAATCTTAACGACATTTTACTTTTTATTTTAAGCTTCCGTGTGACGGTCGTGTCGTAGATTGTAAGGTGGCATATTAGTTTTTTGTAGGTCACAAGGTCGAAGGTAAGACAGTTTTGACATTATTTATAGTTGTTTAATAATAATCTCTAGTGAAGAAATTCTCCTTCATTTTTCGCATCGTTTTGTACAAAATTTCATATTTTTGATGATAAAGATTTGGACAAAAGAAGAATGACGTTTTCAGAATCTAACATAATACATATTATAATCAAATATGTGATCGAGCAACTATCTCTATGCCGAAGAATCGTCTATTTTATCTTTCAAAAGAGTAATAAATTA